AAGATAAGGTTCGGGAGAGATGATGTTGTATTCTGGTAATGAAGAATAAAAAGCTACGTGCATACAAGAACTTGCACTGATGTTGTCCAAAGAAACCGAAACGTTCACTTGTAGTGACTCACATTTATCACGAGAACACGACTGGTTTAATAAAAACAATTATTATTATAACCAACTGTACTAGTGTTTGTTTTAATGTGCTTTTGCTTAACTGTGCTAATTGTAGCCATTTTGTGCTTCCATTACCTTTCATCATTGTTTCGCGGTTTTTGGTACTGTTCGCACGTACTCCTGTCTCCTGCTTCCACTTGTACCATTCCTTGGCACGATCTAGGTATTCGTTCAATACCACGAGATCGCCAACGTAATAAACCTGATTACGTTCGACCTTCGCCTTCTGATTTACTTGACACGTGTTTCTTGTTAGCGGTGTTCATAGTTAATCTCAACTCGACGCCACGCTACACACTCATATAGTGAGAGTTTCATGATCAAATAGTCATCGAAGTAACGTTCGGAAAGCAGAATGAAGCAATTACAATGACGATTTTCTGGTGCTATACCCGGTAATACGCATAGACCTCAATAAAGAAACTCATTCACACATGGTCAATCTCGAGAAAATCTTCTCATAACTAAATAAACCGTATTTAACTTGATCAATCAACCGGAGCACTAGTTGGGATTTTTACACCTCGCGGTTATATATCTGTTTCGTTATTTGGCCTACTAATGCAAATGCAATTGAAAATCAATAGATATGAACAACATACCGATATAGACACTGACTTTCTAATTTGGACCAGAGATAACACTGATATAAACATTTCTACGACATCTATTGTTTTTTCTTATCTAAGAACGAAATACTTATACTGCCCATAAGTTAAACTGTTAACCAGCCGTTATTACTATGCATCTGAATGTGACTTGTTAAAACGCTTCTAAGTCAATTCGCTCTTCATTATCATAACACCACTTTGTTTAACTCCCAAATAATATTCAAGTAGATCTTCGTTTTAAACGTACTAAGAATTAAAAGTAAGCCCAGAAAAATACCTCACTCAAAGAAGAGTAATCTATTATTGATAACCGTTGGAAAATAAGCGTAAGGATTGGTAATGGCAACAGAGAAAGCTCTAAGCATATAAACTTGTTATAGCCTTAAGCCGCCAATCAGAAGCAGCGAATTATTGATCGGACCAAGGACGCGTAAAACGTGTGCGAGCAGCCTAGTGTCCTGATTGGTCCTGCTTTCCGCCTAACCCAGCCAGTTAAGTCCAGAACACCAATACTATCCTCTGCAATATGAATCATTATATTTCAAACACACTGAGTTTACATACCAATCAAACAGATCACAACGTACCATAAAATAGAAAATAACATTTGTACAAAATTTGGCCAAATGTGGATCTGAATATGGGAGACAGTGACTAATTGACAGGGCATAATTCAGGAGTGGTAAAACGTATAATAATGGTTCACAGGTCAAAATAAAGTTTATAATAGGAGGAAAATGCACATGAATAGCTTAGTTATTCAACAATTATAAGATAAAAATACGCGTTTAGTATTGGTCCATAAAAAGATCCCAAAGTTACCATTTATTATGTTTATGGGGACCTAACAAAACCGTTAGATAACTTTGTGATACAACTAAAAAACTAGCAGGCAACTATAGTAAAACAGAAAAATCTATCATGGAGAAAATATTTAGGACAATTACTCAAGTGCAAGAGCTGTTGAGAAAGCTTTAGGGCACTTTAAATAACTCCTGAATAAGCTAGCACCACTGAACCCACCTGACATCGAAGCAGCACTCTTGAACTTTCCTATAGATGCCACTATATCAACGGTCAAAGAAATCAGGATGGTCATCAGACAAATCAAGATTGGGAAAGTAGCACGACCCGACAATATAATAGCTGAATCACGGACTTTGGACATGGAAGTAACTGTAATGTTGAACATGCGAAGCGTTGCGTAGAATAACGGGTAACGATCGACTTGGATGAAGAATACTTCATCAAGATACCAAAGACCTAATCAAATGTGAGAACTACAGATGCATTGCATTACTCTCGTTACCAGGAAGCGTTTTCAATAGTGTTTTTGGACAATTTTGAAGATTCAACTGACACGTGGATTTGAGGTCAACACGCCGGATCTCGTAGTGATCGTTCATGCACGGACCAAATTGAGTTACTATGGAACATCGTTTAACAGTCAATTGAATATCATTTGTCACCATGCATCAAATTCTTTGGTTAGGAGAAGGCATTCGACGGAATTAATTGAAATACCCTAAGGCAACTTTCTTCGACGCTATGGTCTACTTGAGATGATCACGAACGTCATAAGGAATTCTCACGGTGAACTTCTTTGCAATGCCATGCATGGAAGACAACAGACAGAAGCATTCTAAATGCAGATTTGTTGCGAATAAGGCTGCTTACTATAGTATTTATAAACAGTTTTCTACGCTATATAGTCAATGTCTATTGGCCGAATACCATCATTAATATCCGGTTGTGGCTCCCAGCTCAAGGGACTCTTGGTACAGAACATTTAAACAAATGATACAACGGTCGAATACATCATATTGAGCTATTCCTAACAGAGCATTGTGCTCGTGACAAAGTTATTGGATATTGACTGTCCGCATTCAACTCGAATCCAGTTTAATAATAATAATAATAATAATAATAATAATAATAATTTATTCTCAAATAACAGTTTGTTACATGAGGCATGCCAGTTTACAGGCAAGATCAAATTGATACAAATGATACAATATACACTGTATTAAATTACATAGCTGGGTTGAAAATTTATAAGAGCTCACTATGACAAAAACACTAACGAGTTCATAGATTACTGAATTTTAAACCCTTCTTAAAACAACAACAATCGATATGGTTCCTAAAATTTTAGATATTAATAAGGGACATTTTCTATGTCTGTAAATTTGGAGAGTGTGAGCAGATTAAGTTCCCAGATTACACCTCATTAGAATTAAAGATGCTACAAGTATTCGGAGTATGACAACAAATTTACCCAAAACACCTTTATAATAGAAGTATGCCAAGCCAGTTAAATCAGAAGTCATAAATGAATGAGTTCCAATGTATAATTGGAAGGCTATAATTTTGTCGAGGGACGTTTGTCCTAAGCTGACCAACAGTTGGAAGTGTAAGATCCATTTTGAATGCTTTGTGTGTTTGTGAAAATCCCTCCATGTGTATACTTGCACTTTGTCCTATTGATCCTCTTAGTTGTACATTGTTAACCTTTTGACTACATTTGAACTGTTAATATTTGTATTTTATCATAGTTTTCGTTTTTACTACACCTTCACTAATTTCACGTGTTTCTTCCCGAACTGCATTTATGTTGTTTTACTTTATGCTAAGTCTGGGCGGCAGCCATTTTGGTTTGTTCTTGCTTTTGATTGCTTGACCTGTGTTGACTGGAATTGTGCATTTTGGTTGTGAATTGAAGCACTCTTCCGGAACTGAAAACACTCTGTGTTATAGAGCGACCAATTATTACCTTTTGAACGAATCTGTACGTGATCTATCCAGACAGGATAGAATAACATTTATTTGTGGTGACTGTTTAGATTTGATCAATTGAACGATTATTGTCTGGATAGCTGAGTGGTTATATTTGTTTAGAACTGTAAAATCCAAACCGTAGTTTGGATCTTACAGGAGGTAATGCATAGTACGATGTACCCACTAGTGATGTGGTGCGGATGAGTGACCTAGTACCTTCAGATAGATGTGTCCACTAAAATTATTGAGATCATCGTCAAGTGTTGAGGCTTTTCTCACCTTAATTTCACTTTATCTCAGGCTATGGAGTGTCCTGGTGGGGTCCTTCAGGGCTCAGTACTAGGACCTCTTCTCTTCTTGATCTACATAAATGATCTTCCTCAGCAGGTAACGTCTGGCTTATTACTTTTTGCCGATGACGTGATACTTTGGAGAGAGATACGCAACCAAGACGATATACAGGCACTTCAGGAGGATCTGACTCGACATCAAACTTGGGCAGGTGACAACGGACTAAACTTAAACACTTGAAAGTGTATAGTAGTCAATATGGGACATGTTGCAGACTACAATTACAACTTAAGAAGCCCCTCTCTAGAAGTATCCCAAGTTGAAGAAGATTTAGGTTCCTGGTACCCTACGATTTGAAGTCTTACGCTAACTATGACAAAAATGCCCTTTGAGCAGACCATGATCTGGTAACATTGAAGCGTATTTTTGGCCAGTTTGACGGAAGAACATTCCACATAATCTTCAACAGCTTCATCTGTCCCCATTTAGAGTATGGAAACATAGTATTTCCTCCCTCACTCCAAAAATATAAGAATACTCTGGAGCGTATCCAACGGCGAGCCATGAAATCAGTTTGGGGACTCAAATTCAAGCCTTATGAAGAGCGTCCCCAATCATTTTCTAGAGTATAGACATCTTAGGGGTGATTTTCTAATGGCCTACAGTACCCTTAACAATTATGGACATCTCCTTGAACACCTACTCAAGTTAAGCCCCAACACAAACCTAAGGAGTAACACCCAGAAACTGGAGACACAACATAGCAGAATGGACTGTGGACACAACTTCTACTCCTTAAGAGTTGTCAAATGCTGGGATTCGCTGCATGCCGAGCTAGTTCAAGCGACTTCCCAGGAGTCCTTTAAGATGCAACTTGATCTGTTATTAAGTATTAAAGATAGTATCACACTATGACTTACCAATTTCTTTTTCCCATTTTATTGTTAACATACCTGGGTCCCTGCCTGGAGGTTTCGGTGATCCACTGCTACCAGATATGGAAGCCTGTTAAACGAAAGCTTCTTATATTCCGTCCACGACCATTTGAACCATCTGAATCCAAAGGATCTCGGCATTTGACATTTCGCTGTTAAAACCGATAGCGGTAATTCGTTTGGTGGCGCTACTCCCGCATTTAGCGTATATTGAATGCAGACCTCCTTTTGTTTATTTTGTGCGTTGTTTTTCATATTTGGCAACATTCATGGAGACGAGCTCCCCAAAGGAGTTCCGCTATCGAGTAGATAAACTTTTCCCTGGTTAATTCTTTTCAGGATCTTCGTTTTATAAAGTTGGGCAGTCGTTTACTTGCCTAGATGGCTCTTCAGATATACCATGGTGGCAAGTGAACGACGATTACTGTGATTGCCGCGATGGATCAGATGAACCCGGCACATCTGCTTGTCTTAATGGTCGTTTTTTCTGCCGCGATATGCAGTACAGACCTGTGTACCTTCCTTCTGCTTACGTCAACGACTCTATTTGTGGTAAGTTATTTACACGAATTGTGATTTTATTACGTGACCTTCTGGTGTTAAGGTTCTTGCGATGTCATTTTGTTAACTGAATTCACGGGCGTCTATTCAAGGGCTTTCGTTAATTTTATTGCACATCTTATAGACTGATAAAAGTCTATTATAGAAATCTGTTTCTTAAAACTTGTCGATACTTCATCCTGTTAGACTCTAAATACGATGCTAAGTAGAACTGAGTCATATGTAGACTGATAAGTGTAAGTTATATGGGGTAAGAACTTCGTACGTACGAAGTTTTTCGTTGCTAATGACTGACCGATATAGTGTAAGAAAATGAATAGAAAAGTCAAGTCACAATAGGTGGCTGTTCATATTCTCCAAACTCCAGAATCTTGACTGTCGTCTATACCGTCTTATTAAAGGGCAAAGCCTGGGTCTGTCATTAAACTGGCAAACTGATAAGTTTCTCTTTGAACGTAAAACACTTCTCATGTGTCGAATCTGTAGCACCTGTCAAGCCTGCCTGACCACTTGAAGTGGATTTGTTGGGAAAGTGTACTTTCTTTGTCTTAAGGATCTTGTCATCCCTGATAATTTTGTAGTGAAAAGGCTGGTGGGATAGAAGACAAGGTAGCGTGAAGATATCTGACTTATTAGTAAATGTCGATTTGACTATTCAGTAGTTTTCTCTGATAACTAAAAAATTCCTCCTGAAGATGAGGGAAATCCATACGTTAGAAGTACTGGATGACAAATATTCGATGTATCGCTGGAGTACGGTAAAGCTATTTAATAAACAATCTTGTGATTAGATGCATCATACTTCATAGAGAGAAAATCAGTTGATGAGGCTATGGATCTTCATCGATCATGGTGATTAAAATATATGTTACTAAAACATGGCGGCTGTTTTCCATGACTTGTAGTGTTGTCTAGCCAAGTAGCCCGTTAGAAGAATGCTAGAAAGTACCAAATCAAGATGCGTCATCTGTCCATGAAGTCATTGACCTTTGGTTTGGATTGTATTAGTAGGTGCTAACTAGCTAGTTGGTTTGTAGTATTCAACACAAAAACATGAACTTACTGTTTGCATTATTGGTTAACATGGGAAATGAATATGGACCTGATTTTTAATTCTAACTATAAATGGTTGGCATTCTTATTGATTTGTCTAAGACTTAGTGTTAGGATTTGAATAATCTTTCAAAGTCATATTTCGTTTTGATCATCAGGTGGTACATTTACAGTGTCTAATATCAACGAGCATAATTGGTTCAGTGAATTCTTTCCGGCAATCGCACATTACGTAAACTAGAATTCAGTTTTGTGTAATTTATTTAACGAGATAGCGTTTACCCAATTTATAGATGAAGCACTTCTAATTTTTAGATTGTTGCGATGGTGGTGATGAATACGGAAGTTCTACCAATTGTCCGTCAACTTGTGGGTAAGTCCTTTTGCTTGTGATTTATCGAGTCACGTGATAATCTCAATAAACGTTATCTCGTCTATCGCGATAAATGAAGGTAGTATCATAGCTTTTAACGTAGCTAGAAATATCTATTAACACGTCAAAGAGAAAGTTGTTCGACAGAGAGATCTCTATTTGAAAATTCTGTACACAAATCTTCACGAGATTTTCAAAAACCCCATAAAGTGTTATTTACATCGAAAATGAAATTAGTTCTGCCATACTGTATCGTCTGATTACGTGATCATTGTGATATTCACTTCTCACTGCATTTGTGTCTACTGGGTCAGATGTTTGGTAGACCATTGTAAGTCACTCCTTTGGCATAAATATATAAATAATTGAGTCAAATGAACACAAATTTAAATTGTAAACAGGAACACAGGAGAATATTTATTTCAGTGTGAAATGTTTGATCGAAGGGATTCTGTATGAGATATCACTGTGTGCATTTGTATATACAATATTTGGTATGAAAAATGTGAGATTTGTAATATGAAGGATTGTGTATGCATGTATGTTAATTGTTTGAGAAATGACGAGTCAAATGTAGTTGTTTGGATAAATAGTCGGATGAATTTCAGACCTTTTCTATTGAGGGGAGGGGGATTTAGTATTTGTATGCAACGCTTCGAGTACTCATCTATTTTTATAATTGGTAAGACCTTTCTGAATTATTGTGGTATTTTTAATGTTGATTTAGTGGTCATTGAAAATAGTGTTTTGTTGTAGTAATTAATTCACTGTTATTTTGCATACGAGTGAGCTGCTCAGCTGATTATGATCGAAACTGGTTGATATATTATTGATTTGTAATGGACACAAATTCTATCTTCTTTGGTTTCTCTCAGTGAATCTTTCTCAACATGGTGGTTTTCTGGAATGGCTGGAGATAGAAGATAAATATAACTGTCGTATGCGTTATGGAAATTGTTGTTAGAGTCATCGTCGCTTATCCCACCTAGTGAAAAAATGCACACCGAACTATTGTGTCGTGAAATTCTTCGATATTTATTCAGAATTTCACTTTAACTACAATCCCTCTAAGTCGACAAAGTTTTATACGTAGAGGGATTTTGTTACTGGGCAACCTTTCAAGTATGAGACTCAAAATATATTGTGTGGTTGACTCCCCTAACTGATTCACTGCCTAGTGTCAATTTAAATAATGACAGATTGGTTTTAAAGCAAAATGCTGCATTTGTACACCTATAAATCCATTTCAAATATCTAATATTGTCCCACTTAGGGTACTCACAATGTGACCTTCATTGTACGTTAAAGTAGTTTATTGATTCTCTCCAATGCAGTAGATGATTAGAGTCTGGTCTGTCTTTATTCATCTTTAATTTAGTATCAATGATTTTGAACTCTGGTCGGTTCTCTGATTAAGTCGAATTATCTTGACTTTAAGAGAGATCATTCTAATTTTATTTATTTTTCACTGAAAGTAATAGGAATTTTGTTCGAAGTCATTTGTGATAAATTGTCTATATTGTTTTTTATGTGATATGTTAAAAATGTCTTTATAATAAGTTGTGATTTATATCACAACTTATATATCACTTGATATTAGTTTAAGGCTGGGTGAAATATTCGGAGACCTTTCGTTTATTGTTGTCGTTCACTCATTAGTTGCTATTACAAGACAACTTTATAGTTCTTTTTAAGCAAAGATGGATAGTGGCTAGCAGTGGAATCCAGTTTAACGCGCGTTCCATCCTATTTGGGACTCATCAGCTGAATTTACCTGCATCTCAGAGTTGATTTTCTCTCCGGGACTCAAACCTGGCACCGTTCGCTTCAAACGCCACCGCGTTATCCACATAGCTACTGAGTTTTGATAGCCACCTCACACGGCCACGCGTATGCAGCCTCTAAACGCGTGGCCATGTAAGAGCATTTCGAGAGGGAGAGTGGACTCTCCCCATTCTCGGCCGTACCAGGGCATTGATTAAAATCAATGTATTATGAAGTTAAACTGTTATAGAGTGTAAACTAAATAATATTAAGAATTTAATTTAATATGTAATGATCACAATTTGTGTATATAACCATAATATACAGATTATAGGTCTGTTTTCTAATCTCTCTCTGTCTTTTCATTATGTATGTAAACAGAACAACAATCATTTAGGTTTAACATAAGTAATTGATATATAGACATGCTTTTTTTACTGTTTGCTTATTTCTATCCTTTTTGTATGCATGTGTATACTTAGCTCTTTGGCTGCATCTTTGCGTGAAGCACAATCCATTAAACGAAATCAAATTGAACAAGGACATAAAATTTTTCAAGAATACGTCACAAACGTAAGTTTTTTTAAATTTTATTTATTTACTTATTTAAACACATAAATATTGGTGCAAGAAGGCACCAAATATATATGTGCCACACAAATCATTCGATTTGTGTGAGGGTTGGAATACTGCCCGGATGCTTAAACTGAAGTAGATATTTTTCTTGGAGGGGTCAGTCCCCGAGCCTTTGACTTAGAGGTATGATCCATAAAGCGATGGAACAACGTAAGGAGATGCAGTCTCATTGTAGCTGGTGACCAAAAATGGGTTCATATGCCATTATCCTTATTAATTCTCGATGGTTGGGCTCACCTGTCTTTATCACTTGTTAATGGGATTCCAAAATGGTTGGGTTGATGATGATAAGGTTCCGGTTTAAAGACGAATGTATGCTACTGACTACTGGATATGGAAGGAATCAGATGCTTCCTACGATTTGTTATCATGAACAATGCCGTCTTCTAACATGCAAAGAGAGGTTTTAAAAATTATCAGCCCTAAAAATAACACAATATACCTTGTTTCATTTAATTTCAACCTCATCTATAAGACTCAAAGACCACCGGGTTAACTCAAGCAAACCTACTTACAAAAAAGGACTTTTTTTAACCAGCCTCAAACATCTGTCCTTTGTGTTATTTCTTCACTCTCCAAGGTCGGTTGAGCCCTTCTTAATAATGCCGCTTCTTTTTGATGTTCCTCAAGAAGTATCATTCCACAGTATGAGCTACTGAAACCTATGGATCACTGTCTCACAGCTAACTGTACATCTTGTTTAATTCCTTGTTGATAAATAATTTACCATTATTTAACTAATCATTTAAATAATGTCTATTGTGTGCGTGTATTTGTTTGCGTAAAAGTCAACAGTACTTGTTGTGTATTGCGTTTTCGTTTATCACAATCCTAAATTCACATGCTTTAAACGATGTGCTTTGCCCCTAATCTGGCCATTTTTCGGATTATTAATTTGGACATATAATTGTAGAACCTGAAGAGAATTTATCGGAAAGAATATTCTTCGTTCAAATATTAGTCTTTTAATATGACGGGGATCTTTAAACGATTAAATCGTTGTGTATCCGTTTAAAGTTCAATGAAGAACGAGAGCGGAAGACCAAAAAATTCAACTTTTCGTCGATGCTTTTTTTTACTCCATCTAAAATGCATAGTTTATGTAATTTATGTATCTTTTTTAGACTTAATTTCTTTTTTCCGATTTATATTGTTATGATTACAAGTTAAAAGAACGTAAAGCGAAAGGACTTTTTAATGAAGATAAACAGTATGATGAAACACTGAAACTTGCGGAATATGATGTCAATAGTGATAGTAGTAGTAGTAGTAATGATAATAATGTTAATGACAATGAAGGAAGTATTCAAACAAATGAAGAAAATGTTGATTCTCATTTATCGGTTGGTGAAGAGAAACAAGCACTGAATGAACCGTCATCATCGTCAATTGATTCGAATCAACAGTCCTTTACACATGATAATGACAATACACTTATCGAACATGAAGCATCTTCATTAAGTGATACGGAGTCTCATGAGAAAAAAGCAAGTGAATACGATGGGCATCATGTTGGTGATGAAGACAGTCATATGGATTATGACGAATCAAATGTTGCTGTTACTGATAAACAACTCGACGACGAATCACATCATGGTACGGATGAATGTATTGATAATGGTTTTTCTCTATTATGAATTAAAATTAATATTTAGTGTGGATTACATATATAGTTACAATCGGTGTCTAAAAACTTTGAGCTATATTGACTTGGATTTCGCTAATATTCAATTACTTTTGATATTGACATGTACACCTTGTAATTTTCTATGTATGATGTTGTCACATCGTCAGCTATTTATTCTATGTTATTGTGCGAGTTTCGAATTATAAGTGAACCATACAATAAGAGTTTTATCTGTTAGCTATGTACGTGGTCCATCTGGTTCTCTCACACTACAGGGAAAAGTTGTATCTTGAACTAGTAGACAATAAAATACGATCGTTAAATGATTGGCTAGACTGGTTATTGGTTCTAAAGACAATAGGTGAACTGGTCAACAACGGACTCGATACAATAACTGTTATTATAATGAGTAATTCAATCACAGGGCTAGCGAAATGGAGATAAGTAGTTTATGCTATTTGAAGCCACGATAAAAGATGACTAAGGCGAAATTAACTGTGAGACCTGGCTTTTTCTATTTTATAGGTATTTTAACTATATTTCCAAGCATTAACTCTACTCGGCTAACGTGATTTGCTGTTGGAGGATTGAATGCTTTTGTGTAGACTATTATGAACTATTGGATTATTATCTCTCCTTCCACTCTGCTTTTATTAGTCCTCTATTAAATATATCAATAAGTCTTTCAACTTGACTGTTTGATTGTAGTTGATAGGGAGGAGTCTCGATATTTTCGGTGACATTTAAAATGATAAATTTCGAATGTTCTAAAGATGTGATGTGCGGTCTAGTGTCTTATTCCGTATCTACCTACCAACCTACACGGGTATTATTGTATATGAACAATACTTTGAAAATATTTATGATAATACACCAGCAACTTATGGATGTTATAGAACTTCAACATCTGTGTTTCACATCCGTGAATTATTAACAGAGCATGTTCCTGGACTAGTATGCTGGTCATTTGGTAGATAGATGAGGATTTTGACTGCTTGTCATGCCCCAAATGCCCTGGTATGGCCGAGAGTGGGGAGAGTCCGCTCTCCCTCTCGAAATGCTCTCACATGGCCACGCGTATATAGCCTCTGTCAGGGAAGTCCTACTCACTGCCTTCTCGTGGCGGGGGTGTTGTTTACGAAAATGAGAGGACGGAAAGCGAATGTCCGGCGCTTTAACCGGATTCCAAACCAATGGTGCACATGGGCTCCAGTATCCTGCGGGAACAAATGGCGTATGAACCAGTTGTTGGTCACCGGCTTCCATGGGACTGCATCTCCTTACGATGCTCCATTGCCTTGTGGATCAGACCTTTAGGTCGAAGGCTCGGGGTGTGGCCCCCTAAGAAAACCACCTGCTTTGGTTTGGGCACCCGGGCAGTATCACAGCCCTCACACATATCGAATGAGATTTGTGTGGCGCATATGTATTTGGTGCCTCCTTTGTCATCTTAACACTACAATTTTACCAATTAGTAACAGTTTCTGTAATAAGTATTTATGTGACTATATTTTTTGTTTGATTTTCAATCTTCCCCTGTTTCTATTTTTTTCTCAAGAAATCCCAGAAACCCCATCACCTGATGAAAAACCTGTTATTAAAGAGTAGGTTTCTCATAAATCATTCTTTTTCTTGTATGATTTTGTTTATATATTGAACATGTGTAAAATACCAGATTATTTAATGTTTATAGTAGACAAAATCTCGCGAGGCGGGATCGTAGATGCGCACTGTTGAGGAGTCCCACGATAGGACGAAACGACCGTCCAGTGCTTCCAGGTTTCCCACAGTGGTCTATCTTCAATTGAATCAATTGAACTCAACTATTAAAATCACTATGATATCCACAAAAAGTCCCGAAATTCTACTAATGCAATGTATCGAACAATATATATGAATTATTCTCTCTTGTTCATTGTATTTGATACTTGGAAATATATCTGTCTGTCACAGAATGTAGTTAAGATTACGTTTTGTAATGGTAAATACATATAGAATAATCAAATCAGTATTATAATGTACTTTTGAGACGAAATTTTTGATTGTAAATATAAATGAAAAGAATACGGATAGATTGACACGAAATAGCAAAATCGATGGCTACTCACTAGACTGTGAACTCTTGATGTGAACCCTCGAATAATTCAAAGTCAAAGAGTAAATTCATTAGCCAGAATAATCGGTTTTTTATGCAATAAAATTATTTTGAAGTGACTGATAGAAACCAGTATTTAGGCCATTCACTATCCAATCAACTATGACTCAATTGTTAGACTTAATTCTTGTCTATAACATCATTTTGTTTTGCATAATCATCTGTTATTTCAATCTGTTTACTACTTTTTTCACATTATAATGATCATTTTATTGAATTTTAATATTTCATTATGTGTTTAATTTAACAAACTTGATTATTTATTGAAACACGTAAGTATTCGATTTATGTGAGTGCTGCAATACTGCCTGGATGCTCGAACCGAAGCAGACAGTTTTCTTAAAGGAGTCACTCCCCGAGCCTTTGACCTGGAGTTTTGATCCACAAGGCAGTGGGGCAACGTCACGAGATGCAGTCTCATGGTAGCCAGTGACCAACGATTGGTTCATACATTATTTGTTCCCTCACGATCCTGGAGCCAGCTCATGTGCACCATTGGTTTGGAATCAGGGTTTTCTAACTCTCCTAGGTGAACCCTCCATATCCACCAACCCAGTTAATGCGCCAGACATTTACTTTTCGTCTTCTCAATTTCGTGAACGACGATAAAGCAGTGAGTCGCACTTCCGTGGTAGTAGTTGTATACACGTAACCATGTGAGAGCATTTCGAGAGGTAGAGCTGACTCTCCCCACTCTCGGCCATACCTGGGCATTTGGGGGCAGCCAATCACTATAATTATCGGACGCTAATTTTTGAAATCTCTAAATTAGCTAGTAAACATGACTACTATGTATGATTTTAAATCTTACTTTTATCTTGATAAATACTACAATAAGTAAATCTACTAAAGAGTTAATACTTATTACTTATTTCATTAGTTATTGAAATAACACAGAAGATAGGTAACACAGATGGATGTATTCTTTGAGTTGAGTAGTGGGTTTACTTTCAATTGTTTTATTGTCGTTCTAAATAACATTATCAGAGTTTACCTCATATAGAATTAGACTTTCGAATTATTTCACAAGTGTTAAATCAACTTGTTCTGATGACACTTTCACTGATTACCCTTCAGGTTATGTCAGCTTCATTTGTCTTTGTATTTCTGTTGGTTGATTTCTAGCCAATGTGATATTGACCTTTTTTGATCTCTGTCATGATGTTTAATTTCAGATTGACCTGAATGTTATACTTCAAGAAATTCTTTGACATTCGTAAAATCTCTTCGATACTAAATTTCGTCAGTTTCCCAATCAAGTTTGTGTCCGTGTTTGTCTTCATATGTTGACGTATGTCGTTCTGTTAGTGCTTTAGACTCGTTTGTATAGGTGTGTAGATGAGGCATTCAGGTTGGGATGTCCACTTTATCACAGTTGGCACAATGTAGTTTTCTTTAGATATTATTAGATTTGTCTTGTTTTTCTGTTGACTGATAGTTTGTATGAAAAATGGAATCGAGTGTATAGATTGGGTTGTGAGCACTTTTATTTCTGGAAGTTAACCGAATAAGACAGTTAACAAAGAATACAAAAGTAAATGAAACTGATAAAAAGTCCAAGGACAATCATTTACTCATGTGATCATCACAACAGGCTTATTTCATGCTAGTAGGATAATTGAATAACTCATTTCTACGTAAATTAATTGATGATGATCTGTAGAGTAACAATAGAACATTCAGCTCGATAAATACAACACAGTCGGAGACATTCGTTTCTATTCAGATACGAATCAGTAAATACACTCTATTAACATTTGTTAAAGACAGTAGAATACAATCGAACTTAATAGACCGATGCATGTTTTCGAATAGGTGTAAAATGATTAGGCTGACAAAATAATACTGTAGAGTGTTTACATATAATTATTTAAATCATAAAGTAATCTTATACCATAATTGAAAAAAAACTGAGGACACTGAACAACCATTTCATCCGAGTATAGAACTCTCAAGCAGTGCTCATCCATGACCCCGCATCCGGTAATTGAATCCACAACTTACAATCTCACATGCAAACACTTGATCTCTACCCATTAACACTATCGGACACCGACCCAACGGTCACCATTATTTTCACCTCATTCTCACTTGTACTTATTATATTGTTGTTATGTTAATGTGACTTGGCAACTTGGATCAACTTACATCTTTTCCAAGTTCAACGTTGATGATAACAACTGACTAATTGATCATATTTCACACAATTGAATCTTCTAATTATTATCTCTATTATACTTTTCAGGTTTATAATATATTCTTTAAACCTCTAATTATAAAGGTGTTCATTTGAATCAATGTAATGATTATCTACCTATATTCAAAACATTAGAATTCATTTTGAAGTACAGAATTAATAAAATGAAACACTTATTAGTTTCATAGTAACTCATAATCAATCATCATTACCTTTATTAATACTTTCCAATTAATTATTATTTAATTTAAACAAAATTAAATCTCTTTTAATGAGGTTATAATTAAGATCTTAATTTTATTTACAACGTCATATAAGATCTAAACCTTTATAGCATAATAATGGTGCATGATACATACTAGTTTTTTAGACAGAATTATTTCAATATGATCATGATTGAGTTTTGTTCTCTGAGCCTGAATGGTTTGGTCGTGGAGCTTTTATCGTTCTTCTGAACGACATCATCAGCACAAACTTCTGATAGAAGTGAAGTGTTCGAATTTCTCCATATATGTTTCACAGCTTGTTCTGTACACCTCGATGTTGATTAGTTCGTGTTTTGCTGATGATGTCGTTCAGAAGAACGATAAAAGCTTCACGACCAAACCATCCAGCTCAGAGAGCAAAACTTCATCAAAATCATCCACCTGAGCTACAAATATTCTCCACTATTTCAATATAATCATATGCTAAAAATGACCATATATATATATATAGAGTGTTACAATTAACTAAATCATTAAAATAAGGAAAAAAGTTATACATATCACCTGGAGGATTATCTCCAATCACGAGCCTCCCATCGGGCGCCACAGCTTTGCCGCCAAATGCCGTGGTACGGACGAGGGTGGGGAGAGTCAGCTCTCCCTCTCGAAATACTCTCACATGGCTATGTGGCGCTTTACTCACGTTGGTGGATACGGAGAGTTTACTTAGGGGAGTTGGAAAACCCTGAGTTCAAACCAATGGTGCACATAGGCTTCAGGATCCTGAAGGAACAAATGGCATATGAACCTATTGTTGGTCACCTGCTACTAAGAGACTGCATCTCGTGGCGTTGCTCCATTGCCTTGTGGATTAGACCTTTAGGTCAGAGGCTTCGGGTGTAGCCTCATAAGAAAACCACCTGTTTGGGTTTGAGCATCTGGGCGGTATTGTAACCCTCACATAAATTGGATAATTTATGTGGCGTATATCTATTTGATGCCTTATTGTACCAATGTTTATGTGTTTCAATAAAGAATCCACCAAGGTCAACAAATAAGTTACGCATTTTCAAGTTACCTAGACAAGCGAGAAACTTGTAATTTGATTAATAGAATTCAATAAATAGCAGTCAGGATTAAACTAACATAAAATTAACTTCTTATTATTTTTGGTAAATTCGTATTTATTTCTCTCCTATATGAGATTAGTCACAGCCCAAATAACTCAATATTAACACTTCAAATTGTAGTATGGATTCGATTTTCACCTAGCTGACATCAGTCCATCTTAGAGATGAGTGCTAATGGGCATGAAACGTCCGTCAAGAGTTTTCTATTGGTTGCTTCCTGTTATGTCCTAAAACCAACCAATATGCGTTGATGACCTTAAACAACCAATGTGGTTGGAAAATGCTATAGCAACAAATTACGGTTTAAACAGAAGCTTAGGACTAGGGTAATAATTAAGTAGAAAAACCCAGAATACTTATTAAAAATACAATCAATATATATATATATATATATATATATATATATATATATATAGTTTTAAAAAATGAACTTCGCAAGTTTTTACCTCACCTTATTAAATCGTTTCTTATAATACATTTCATCAGCTGACATATTCACTTTTATCTTTATAGTTCAAAAACATTCGATTATAAATTCTTATTTTCAGAATGAGGGTTTGTAGAAATTGTAGTGATTTTAACGGTTGAGTTCATGAGTCGGTCTAAGTTGGGCCACGATTGAAAAGCTAGAAGTACTGAATGGATGATCCTTTCTAGTATGAAACTTCTCAGCAGTGCACATCCACGATCCCTCACGCGGGACTCGAACCCACGACGTTCGGTTTCTCTTGGGAACACTTAACCTCTAGACCACTGAGCTGGCATCTTACGATATTAATATCGAACTTTATTCGATTCATGATCTTGCATAAACGTTCTTGTTTTGTTCCTCCTAGAATTTAAACAGAGGAAACTGCTCTTATGTATTCATTTCTACAAAATAATTATATACCAATGAAATAGTCTTGTGCTACTTCAAAATCATGAATCATCTAGTTGTAAACCAGTTTACTCTTTTACTAAATGGGCTGGAAAATCTAACTTTCTTTTCAGTTATGAAGTTTTGTGCCAGAACATCACGTAAATAAATGACTAATTACACATACAAATTCTTCTGTTATCTTCAAATTGAGCTGAATCATCGGAACAGACGAACTTTTGATTGGATACAACATCCAATAGTTTAATGAAAATTTAGACATAATCACCAATTGAATTATATAACTCATCAGGTACAAATTTAAATCGATTATCTCTAGAGTCCATTGTTTTTAAAAAAAAATCGTATTTTCGTCTACTTTGCTGTATCCGTCATGTGATTAGTTGGGTTTAAAAATCCTTATGTACCCCCAAATGCCCTGGTGCAGCCAAGAGTTGGGAGAGTCAATTATCCCTCTCAAAATCCTCTCACATGGATACGCGTATACAGCCACTGCCAGAGAAGTCCTACTCACTGCCTTCTCGAGTCATTACTGCTGTTTACGAAAGCTAAAGGACGAAAAGCGAATGTCCGGTGATTTTCTCGCGTTAGTGGATACGGAGAGTCCACCTAGGGGATTCGGGAAACCCTAATTTAAAACCAATGGTGCACATGGACTCCCGTATCCTGAGGTAATAAATGGCGTATGAACCAACCGTTGGTCACCGGCTACCATGGAACTGTATCTCCTGATATATCTGTAACTAATTGTAATTAAGGAACTATTATTTATAAACGGCAGACGATTAATGAATTAAAAGGTAGCTTACAGTTAGTCTCATATAAATTTACTATAAGATAACCATTTGATAAATACTCACTGGAAACATACAAACAGATTCACCAAAGTGTGACTACTCAAGGCTAATGTTTCTCCTTCCGCATGGCATTGGTTACGCATGCTTGTTTATTTTTGTCAGTTGCTACCTCATGAAAGTTATTCTCTCAGTAGACCATATGGAATTTTTACTGCCTCAAAAATAACGTAAACGGAAAATTATACATTTTGTTCTATTAATCGAATGTGTCTGATTGATTCGAGTTTTACTCTCTGTCCATAAATATATACATTGTTTACTTCCTTTTATACTTTTTACAGTATACCAACGCCTATTCCTATTGATTATGGACCAGAAGAAGGTTTTCGTATGCTTACTGAATTACCAAATGGTTGTTTAGAGTTGAACGATCGAGAATACACATACAGCCTTTGTCCTTTTAAATCAGTTCATCAAAAATCAATTGGTTCATCGAATTCTGATCCAGGAACATGTATAGGCCGATGGGGTCGTTGGTTAGAATCTGATGAGTATGAAAAGTCTTATAAAGTTATGTATTACGAAAATGGTCAACAGTGTTGGAATGGACCAACAAGAACTACCAAGGTATGCTTTCGAAATGTTTCAATTTCTAATTTACTTTTGTATTGGTTGCTTAAATCTTCCTGTTGATGTTTATGACTGTAATTAATCAGTATTTGGCTGGACTCAGTAGCTAAATGCATAACGTGGTGGCGTTTGGTGCGAACGGTACTGGGTTCGAGTCCAAGGGTGAACATCAACTCACTCCAGGTCCATACAGTTGAAGAGTCTCAAGTAGGACAAAACGTGTGTCCTATATTCCAATGCTAATCACTATTCATCTCTGCTTACGATATTTTAATTTCTGTTTGTGAATGAAATTGTTTTGTATTCGCATTCTTTATTCATGTAGTTATTTCGATGATGGTGGGGTCATCTTGCTCTATATGCCAAATTATTTCTGTATAATTTGTGTAGCTCTATAGCTGTGGGAACAAGTACTAATCTGCTTGTTCGAATCCCTCTTCAACTTCTTCGGTTTGGGCAAGTTCATTAATACCACTAACCTTTACATTTGAAATATAGCTTAAATCTGTTTTCAATTTTCTAAATAAGAACATATCTTTAAATTGTATGAGCCCAGTACAAGCGGACGATAAACAGACAACAGCACCTTATAGGCTTCTAATGTATACGGTAATCGGAAAATTGCTTTCTTCACTTCAACAAAAAGAAATAAACTCGTCTGAATGTGTAGTCTGTAGATTAATCATTTGAAAGCTTGGAGACAACGTGATGTACTAAAGGATCCATTGAAAGAAGAAAGATAGGGTAATGTTCGTTTCGCGAATGCCAGTTGTATACTGGCAGAACATGATATTTGAAATACTAGTATTTTATGTTAATCAGGAAAGGATTTTCTTCGAGTAATTAATTCATTATTTCTGTATTTGACCTTTAAATCGGTAATACATTTGTTACAGTTGAGGTGGTTAGAACATGGATTACTCATGCCCAAAAACCACCGACTTCGATGAGAGCTGATAGCTAGTATAAGAGTAGGTTGGACAAAAAATAGTGGTGAACAGATCAAACTTTATATCAGTCAATCAAGTCATTGATAGCTTGACTGAACTGTGTTGGTGAGTCCAAAGTACATGGTTGAAGTTCGCACGATTATCTTATCCAGTAGTTAGAGACTGGTTAACATAGTTCAAAATCGTTTCAGTAGCCCAGATACATCAACACTTTGTTTTCCCGTACATCTAGAGTTTTAAAGTTATCTTGTACTTTTTATTTCACGAATTTGTTCTTTCTTGCGTGACTTGGGTATCATCGCGCAGTAAGACAATATCATCCGTAAACTCAAGGTCGACAAGTCTTTCGCCAGACAACAGATCCACACCACCATTACCTACAGCACGTAAATGACTGTTGATGGGGATCCGATCGATTTGTGTTGTTTCATCTCTGGTGCTCAGTGTGATATGAACGCCAACAAAACCAGACGAAGATATCACAGGGTCCTGGAATAAATGCATATGAAACTAATTTTTCGAATCGACAAATGAGAAGCGAATGTGTAGTAGTTCATTAGACTTATGAACACACGTTTCAAACATATAACAGACATCGATGTTGAGACTTTCTAAAGGCATATCTGAATCTATCTGTTGTCCGATCTGCATTAGTAAAGGAACGTTGAAGGAGGCCAGTTTGTATGGTGTATGTGGTTTTTGAAAGACTGGTTCAGTATTAGTATTTGATGGCATGAGAAGGCCGTAAGACACCGAAATAAAATTATCAAAACGAATCCCATTGTAATAAAAGCAGTTTTAGTATTAGTAGTGGTAGTAGAATATCGTTAGTATAAAAGAAGGAATAAACGGTGTAAGAAGATTTTGGGATTCAAAAACCAAGGAACGATAAGTAGAAAATGCGTTTGTGCCATTGCGAACGATTCACAGTCATTTCACTCCATTCATTTGCTACGATTATCGCACAGACCCCAACCAGATATTTCTTACCTATTTACATAAGTCAGTTTAGTTGTCAATGTCTAATGCTACTTTTTGGTTTGAGCATACTTAGCACATGTCTCAACAACCTCAGTTAATGAAGATTCACTGCCTTATTAACTAATTTTCCATCTCTGTCTCGATGCATAACCTCAGGATTGTTAACTGAAAGGCGGACGTGATGCAAGTTGTAAAAGGTCAACTGAGCCATGCTGATATTGTATGCTACCTTAGACTACCTTAGACCATATATATCCAAGTTCTATATTGCTTATGACTGATCGACTGACTTGTTCACATTCCTAGTGAAATGAAATGAAAATCAATGACTAGTTTTGTGGTTACGTAATATTCATAACACAAATTTTACTAACTTAATACAGTTGAGAACGTAAATATATATTTCCACACCAAAAACCCGACACAATCCAACAATAACAAACAATCAGTAATAAGAATAGAAGAATATATAACTCATTTAACACCTATCAGATTATCAGAATGGGTTTTGTGGAGAGTTTTAGAAATTTCACAGGTTGAAATCATGAGTCAGTTGAAGTTAGACCACCATTGAAAACCTGGAAGCACTGGACAGCCGTTTCGTCCTGGTATGGGACTCCTCAGCAGTGCGCATCCCCGATCCCGCACCACGCGGGGCTCGAACCCAGGACCTACTGGCTTCGCGCGCGAGCACTTAACCAGGTCTTGGGTTCGAGTCCCGCATGGTGCGGGATCGTGAATGCGCACTGCTGAGGAGTCCCATACCAGAACGAAACGTCCGTCCAGTGCTTCCAGGTTTTCAATGGTGGTCTAACTTCAACTGACTCATGATATCAACCTATCAGATTATCTATATGTCCGACTAAGCAAACAACTACTCATTATCATTCTCGCCCATACATCATTATGCTTCTATGAATTTGAAACATCATATGAGTTGAATGGTGTATAATTAATTTAGCTAATTGAAAATCGATACATAAATCAAATGAGATTTGTGTGGCGCATATGTATCATCTGATGCCCCCTTGTACCAGTATCTATGTGCTGAAATGAATGAATAAAAACCCATTTCTAATCTGTGTATTAGTGTTGAATGAATTGCTCAATGCAACTAGAGAAGGTATCAATTGTTATGAAGGGAGGGGTGTTTGAATGATTGATGTGACGAAATTTTAACTTGTTGAGCCACAATCAAAAATAGGTTTTAGTGTTCAACGTGGAGACTCTTGGTGACATGGCTCAGAATCGATCACAATGGCGTCGGTGTATACACTCCCTGTCTTCCCTTAAACTAAGAGATTAAAATCACTTCATATCTTTCTACGAACCAATTCTTTCTTCTTGTACTATATCCTTGTATGCAATCATTCTTTTATATACTACCACCTTTGAATTAACTACTTTTTTGAATCCGGTGTTCATCTTGTTGTGCTGATGGATTATGGCAACTTGGACCGATGCACATATGTGCCTGGTCTTAAGTTGTAGCTGACTGACTGACTGTTCAACGTGGAATGTACCTCTGCGTACATATTACAATAATAACCTAATATAAACAATGAGATGAGTGTTTCTTCTGTGGAGTCTGTTTTTATATTCAAACGTTTAGATCGACGGGTAATTTAGTTTATTGACTTTTGTATGAGTTCTGTAAAAAACAACATACTATTATTGCCTAATAGTGTTCTCATTATATTTAGAATGATTTACGTGTTTAAAGATGAAAGTGGAAGTTCTGTGTACAGTTTCATCTTACTTTAGACGAATTCAAAAAAAACCCAAATATCCTAAGTTGAATCATAATTTATCATTGAGATTAGTAACTAACTTGTTGTATTCTAGTTGACTAATTTGTCGCTCGAAGATATGACAACAGGAGTTCAGTTACAACTTGAACAGTTCACTAGTAATATCTTAGACTGTGAAACCAATTTACATAGGTTTGAATCTCCGCAGAGACCATCAATTATTCCTACAAGATTTCAAGCATGTTTTACTGACATGAATCAACTAATATAAGATTTAAATCTTAATTTCTTGCTTACTATTTCTAATTACATAAAATATGACAACAGTGTTATGAATGATTTGAATGTACAAAATCCTACTTAGAAAAAAAAAGAAGGATTACTGTACTATCGTTTAAACTTGTTAATATACATTCATGTAAATAATATTCATTTCTTGAAAATGAAATTCTAGGTATTTGTCGATTGTGGTGATTCAAATCATTTGACTTCAGTGAATGAACCATCTCGATGTGAATATGTTATGCAATTGATTACACCAGCTGCATGCAGTGAAGATCCTGATGAATTATTTAAGAAATTACATCCCGAATTGTAAATTTATTTGTGTGTATGTATGTATGTATGTATGTATGTGTGTGTGTAATAATTTTTTCTATTTTATATCTACTCCTTTATACCTTTTTTTTCTTCTCAAAAGTTGTTATCTTTTCTGAAGATTGTGCACTATTCGAAAGTTAATTGTTGGATGAAGTTTAGACAGAGATTCGTAAAGCTCATTTGAGTTTCATCGAATTCTGATATTGGGAACCTATTGAAGATTATCTATCTGCTTATCGATTGACGTGTATACAATTTACTTTGTTTCACTTTATTGCTTTGAAATGTGAATCTTACTTTTATAGGGTAATGTATTGTTTAACGAGAGATCTATTCGAACCATTGGTCATGTATGATAGGTAGGTTGTGTGTAAGGTATTAGGTAAAGGTTGTAAACTTTCATTAACTAAGATGGTCTACAGTTGCACAGTACGTTAGAACATTCAGCACTAAGCTCAATACTGTTTAGTGTAGAGAATATATTGGGAGGAAGACTAAGGAGGACTGAACTAATACGTTGCAGCATTTCAGGAAAATAGTAATTAAAACTCGATTTATTAGTTGATATAGTTCAGAATTGTTTACAGTAATGTAGGTATAATCATACTCTTTCGTTTTTTCAAATCTTTATTTTCTACATTATTCTCTTCTAAACCAGTTCATTTTGTATATTAACTTATACTACTTATTAATATTCAGTAACCTGTTTGTTCTTAATATCGATGAGTTTTCCACATGTGTTCTTCATTCCATTAAACCAATAAAATCCCTCCAATTCACTTTTGGCTTTTTCATTGAAGTAGCTGATTTGGGGCATGTTTAAAAGAAACTTGTATATCCGTAGTAGAATTGAACGAATGCAAATAATGACGACGGTGAAGTTCCAGCGTCCGAGTGTCGTAGTCGTAAACCGTATTCGGCGTCAATCAAGTTGCAAACTTAACATAGACAATGTGTTAGAGAATAAAATTTTCTGCTGCTCAAAATGAATTATTTCATTCTTAATGTGAAGATCATTCTGACCAAATCGAATAAAAATACGAGATCACGTTTTTCTTTTAATTCTCTGTAACTGTAACTGAATATTACCTTTTTTTCTTAATTCAGTATGATAACTGCTCAGAATGGTATTGGTCTTCAGTGTAATAATTTGCTCAACATAAGATTGATGTCCTTTCCAGTGGGATTTCTATCCAATATGATATTCATTGAAACATGGATTATATTCAGCATGGGAATTTTGTTATAATTCTGGGTATTTTTCATACATGTGACCTTTATCCAATCAATAATTAAATGGATGCACAAATAATTACATAATTAAGTGTATATCCTGCTAGAGTCGTCGTGTTTTGAAGTGAAGAAATCTTCATTTGCATTAGTCCTTTGTATTCTTACCTTCCGTCAGTGGAATAATAGTGATCTTGTATTTTTATCTCCTTTCATAAGCAAGTAAATTTTCCGTTTGGGGTTTACTCATAGGTTGATGGAAAATAATTGTAGGGATGTATGTGTCAGTTGTTGAACTCTATGAACTCACATGCTAACGTAGAAAGTAGCTCACCAATTTTCTTAGTTTTCTCGAATACAATTGATAAGGTACTGAAACCAGTTATTGATTTTATTTTTGATCCCGAAAATGGATTTACATGGATACGACAAATATGAAGATTTATTTGGACTGCAATTGGCTGATCTGAAAAGTGATATAAAAGTTCATGCTGTCAGGAAGTTGGGAACAAATGAATATGTCGATTATGCGAATTTCATTTTGCTGGAATTGTCTAGAGACATTAATTTTCAAGATATAATTATTATCCTTCTAAAGAATATTGTTAAACAATCATACCCATACAGCATTCATTATAGTTGTTTAAAGGTATCCATTGATGATGGTAAAATGAACCGAGCATGGGAGCGTTTTAGTCTGTGTTCACTAACCCTAGACCAATTTAAATGTTTCATTTCTGCCTGTGTATTTTAGTCACCTTCCGATTCTGAAAGCTGTATTTTAGCACACGTAAATCAGGATGCATCCCTAACCCTCCAAGATGTGACGGTGGATCACGAACGCATTTCAAGTTGTCATAAGTATGTACAATAACATGATTCCATGTAAATCTGTTAGACGATTGATATATTTTGCATGTTGATTATGTGAATTGAATGAGTGTGTATTAAAGATTATGTCTTGTACTTATTAGTAGATATTTTATTAAAATTAAGCTGAAATGAAATAAACCGAACTGGTTAAATCAATGCATGAAATCGATCTGAATATATGGTCAAATCGAAACTGATTGTAAACAGCTCAAATTCAGATTTCACTTAAACGTGATTCGGTAATAGGTTACAAGCAATAATTGATAATAACAAAGATTCATTCTGTTGGGGAGATCCCGAAGACTCCTCTAAAAAGCTAACAAAGTCTCTGAAAGCACTGAGAACCATCATGTCCAATCAACATTCAGTAGATGTTTTGCCAGGAATATCTAGAATGTGGAAAGTTACACTTCGAGTTTCTGATTGAATGATTACTTATACTGCTATTATGTTTAGTAGCGTTCCAGATTTTTCTGGAAATCCAAGGGCATCTAAAATACTATAAAAACCCTAGATTTTCTGTACATAAACGAACCTATGGAGTAAAGCGTTTCTTTCATATTTCCCGCCTTTTCTCTGGTGTTCAAGTCGCTGTGTAGATCTAGCCTGGGGTTTACTAGAAGAGCTTAGGAACCGAATCTAGCGTTCAGTTGGAAGACTTATCACATTTCTAACCGAATAAGTTGAGCTCTTAGTTGTTTTGATCAGTAGGTCGTAGGTTCGAATCTCTTATTTCTTTAGTTTCAGCAGTTGATAGTAAGTTATACTAGGCATAATACAAACACAGTGACTCAAAGCTAAGTACGTTATGCTACATTATTTACGTTTAATTATCATCGAACCTAGTTACAATCATTGTGATTTGCAGAGATTATTATCTGTTAGATATCGTTATTTAGAGATAACTGATAAGGCGAAATAACCCCTTCTAAGTCCTGGTTACTGAAAATGTGTTATGTTCTTGACCTCTCTGTCCACTGGTATGTGCCTAATATGGTGGGAAAAAATTGTCGCGATCTAGTTTAAGGCGCTGCAGTGACAATTTAATCTGTACAATCTTGAAACTTTTAACACTATCCCACCACTGACCTATAACAAGTTGGGTTTATAAGCGAAGATGGAGAGAAGACGATTTAGCTGAAGCCGTTTTCCGACTTTTTTTGTTCAAACTAACTCAAAAAACCACATGAATAAATATATAATCGATACTGTAGTGAACAAGAACACTTATGGGAAACAATCGAATGTATTCGTCACAAAATTACAGGACTTGCTAATAAAATCATATAGTACATGCTTAATTTGCAAAATGTCCATCACTTGTCCCAAAATGACGCAGACTGCATGTCTCTTGAATTTTCATACAAATTGCATTTTGTTTCGACTCTTTACTGTTCGATCTTCTTGTCTCACAGCTGCCAGACCTTCTGTTCACGACTAACATCATATACTACTTATGCCAATATAAGTAGCACACATCACACTCCTTCCCGCCTTTAAAGCAGTCGTTCTTGAGGTGGTTCATACTGGCCGTGCCACATTCTTCGTTTCTGCAGTCTGCGCTACGCTCTCCGTCAAAATGTCGAGTCTGCAGCGCGCTGACCTCTACAGCTCCGTCGACCTGCCGGGGCAACAACATCCGAACCTGGGACGCTTAACACCCGTGCTCAACCGGCCTGCTGAGCCATCTACATCCGATGTCCACCCAACAGCCGCACCTCCCACCTCCCCTCTCCGTCGACAGCACCTGACACAGCCAACGCCGCCTTACTAGAACACTCCACTCGACGCCACCTCTCCACAATGAACTGCCACAACTAGCACTTCAGCCTTAGGCCCACAGCAGCGTCCGCAGAACAGCGCCCTTCCCCCCTCTTGATTGGAAGCAGTACCAAATGTAGTGAAGGAGAACACAGGTGTGAATGACCTAATTGTATTTAGCACAACATTACTTGGTAAAATAGAAAAACCACGCTATAATATTTTATTTGCAAAATGTTCAATAATTTTCTCGAAATTCATTGTTCTTACCTTTCTTTACTAATTGCTTTCTATTCCCGTTTTTCCTTTCTTGATCTTCCCAATCTTCTGCTGCCAGACATTACATTCCTGACTCGCGTTATATACTACTTATGTCAATATAAGTAGCACGCACCACAACAGTTCTGGAATTTCGTTAGAATTATAGTACTTCTTATTAGTCTTTTTATTAGTCAATGTGTTGGTTACCTATTAAGAATAAAAATACTGCTTAAAACGTTTTGTGATTTAACTTCTTACAAAAGAATTTTTAAACTAATCCCTACTCTGTCAACTTCCTGTTCATCGAAACTAAGTAAGTTATTTGGCTTGGAGAAATTTGTTTGTAATATAGAAACTGACACCACCGTTAGTATAGAATTAACAATAAATACAATCTATTGAAATGGAAAAGGAGGGACTAAACTGACTCAACAGGACAGTAATCAGTGAATACAGAAAGTGAGTCAATTCAACTTAGTATCAATGACAAAATATACACACAAGTTTGTGTGACCGGCAAAATAAACAGATCATAGTCACATCAAGATCAAAGCAAACCAAAGTATTGGGCAATCAGTAATATTATTGATTGATTAGTTTATCGATTACAATTATAGATTTAACATATCAGTCTATGATAAAGACCTCTATTTAACAACAGAATTTATTTTCATACATAGTAGTCAAATAAGTAATCAATTTTACATTTGTTCCATAAGGTATTAGTGATCGAAATAAGAGGTAGAAGTATGAATTCATTTTTGTATTGGTTGTTTGAATCTTACCATAGTTGTTTAAGATTGCAATTGATAACGCTATGTCGTTGGAAGTGAACGTTATTGCGTTTCAATCACAGAGTGAACATCAACTCTGAGATGTAAGTATATCTAGCTGATGAGTCTTAAATAAGACGCAGTGCACGTCTAAGATTTCACCGCCAATCATCATCTATCTAGGCTTATAAGAGGTAGGAGAGTTTGAAGAGAGATGCCATTTAATTTGTGAGTAGTACTACTTACCCACAAAATTCATTTCAATCTTAGAATGAATAGCAATAGGATATAGATACTATTACTAAGTGATCATCCGACTTAAAATTGCCATTATCCAAAATGAACTTGAAACAATGTCAATGAAGGTTTATATGATACAAGAAGAAAGAAAAGATAAAAACTGATTGTGGATAGAGAAGTTTATTCTTTCACAATTGATTGATCACTGGGTGGTGATCAATGTTATGCTTGTCTAATCCTTATTAGTGCAGATCTACCAAGTTCCAATGTGGCCACTAGTTTAGGTGACTCAACATTGCGTGCACTATTTTGAGAATAGATGGTGGTTGGAGGTAGTCAATAAGAAACCCTGGGTCCGGGTTTCGTGCTACTTGGCACTCGTCAGCAAGGTGTACCTGTAGTCTTGAAGGAACTGGTGCTCCCTGGCGGGTTCGATCTCGTGTCACCTAGCTTCAGAGTCAGAGACGGTACCACCTGTAGGACTGAGATGTAATCACAATTGATTGATCACTGGGAGTACCAGTTCCCTCAAGATTAAAGATACACCTTGCAGACGACTGCCAAGTAGCACGAAACCAGGGTCCAGGGTTTCCTGTCGACTACCTCCAACCACCATGACGAAAGTCTTCAACCAAATACAGTGTCTTATACATGAACTTCATTGTTATCCTATGAGTATTCAACAATAAGACACAGCAGAGGTAGATAGAAAACAATGTGAATGTTGCTCTGTATCAATACAAATGAATACTACACACATATATATTACTATATGTTATACTGAATAGGTATTACACTAAATCAATTCATAATGTCAGGTTTGATTCCTTTTTGTTTAGTAAATTATGAATGTGAAATATATATTTTTATTAATCTATTATTCCTCTAAGGTGAGGATTGTAAAAGCAAGGGCCGCATTCCTACAATTGAAGAACATATGGAACTCAAAACAACTTTCAACCAATATCAAAGTCACAATCTTCAATACAAACGTCAAGGCAGTTCTACTGTACGAAGCTGAAACGCGGAGAACTACCACAACCATCATCAAGAAGGTACAAGTATTCTTAAATAGTTGTCTAAGCAAGATATTCAACAGCCATTGCCAGGATACTATCAGCAACAGCCTACTGTGAAAGAGAATAAATCAACTTCCAGATGAAGGTGAAATTAAGAAAAGACGGTGGAAGTGGATAGGACATTCATTATGGAAATCACCAAGCTGCATCACGAGGCAAGCCCTAACTTGGAATCTTAAAGAGAAGCGGAAAAGACAAAGGTCAAAAAACACATTGCGCCGGGAAATAGAATCAGATATGAAAATGATTGCTCATGACAGGGTTGGATGGAGATTGATGGTGGGCGGTCTATGCTCCTCTACAAGGGGTAATAGGAGTAAGGAAGTTAGTAACTTTAAAATCAGTTCTTTGATCATTTTTTCTCAACATTGTTTTTTCAATGTTTATAATAAACTTTTTGAACTTACCGACAAATTTCATCGACTTCAATACAATACCTTTAACATATTAAAGTACAAGAATATGTAGTATAATATCATTTACATGCATCTATTAATTGGTACAAGGGTTGTTTACTATGAAATCAATTTGATCAAATGTAAACGAGGCTAAAGTTTATAGAGGACAGTACTGGATGATCGATAATTCATACTCATATAGAATAGACTATGTAGTATACAAATATAAATAAGTTGATTCAGTTATACTAATTGACTAGATATTAAAGTACATTATCATTCGTTACAGAAGGTTTGTAATAACAATATTTTGTAGCATATTATGGAAGTTCCTTTTTTTATTACCTATGGTTTTTATGATATAACAGGATTACTTACTTACTTACTTACTTAGTTACACCTGTTACTCCGAGTGGAGTATAGGCCACCGAACAACATTCTCCAACTGAATCTGTCCTGGGCTTTCCTTTCTAGTTCTATCCAATTGTTGTTTAATCTTCTCATATCTATCTCAATTTCTCGGATTAATGTGATGATGTAACAGGATAGAACAACAAAATGATGTTGATAACTCATTGTTAATTCTGTACAAGATTACCTTAATAGTAATTCCCAATAATTTCCTTATATGTGGTCATTGTTAACTAATCGTCAATTGTGAGTAATATGAATGTATTCCTATAGCAATTCGACTGATTTCCATGGTCAAGTAAATCCATTTTATCAGTTTTTGTGTTCTCCTTGTCAACTTAGAGGCTTCAGCACTGAATATAAGACAACTAAATATTTCATAGACATAACGATCTATCTCCCTATTTTATAAACGAAGTATAAAACATTGAAATTGTATTTATGTAAGTTCACATGTAGTCAGCTAATGTTTGAAATCAGAAGGGTTGTTTTTATGGATATTATAGTAATTTTAATAGTTGAGATCATGACTCAATTAAAGCTAGACCACCATGGAAGAATTGGATGGCCGTTTCGTCCTATCGTGGGACTCCTCAGCAGAGCACATCCATGATCCCACCCCTCGAGATTCGAGCCCAGGATCTATCGGTCTCGTGCGCGTACGCTTAACCTCTAGACCACTGAGCTGGCCGGCATCCAAAGGTGTTAATGTCTAACTTCAACTAATCCATGAAATTGAACGACACATCCACCATTGTCTTCAATGAGTTAGTATAATTATTATATTATTTAATCACATAAACATTGATACAAAAAGGCACAAAATAGATATACGCCATATAAATGATTCGATATGTGTGAAGGCTGAAATACTGCCCAAATGCTCAAACCCAAGCAAGTGGTTTTCTTAGGGGACAACACCCAAAGCCTTCGACCCTAGATCTAATAAACAGAGCAATGAAGCAATGTCACGAGATGCAGTCACATGGTAGCAGGTAACCAACAATAGGTTCATACGCCATTTGTTCCTTCAGGATCCTGAAGCCTATGTGCGCTATTAGTTTTAAATCAGGGTTTTCCAACTCCCCTAAGTAAACTCTCCGTATCCACCAACGTGGGTAAAGCGCCGGACATTCGCTTTTCGTCCTCTTAGTTTCTTGAACAGTAGTAGTGCCGCGAGAAGTCATTGAGTAGGACTTCCCTGGTAGTGGTTATATGCACGTGGCCATATGAGAGCATTCGGAGAGGAAGAGCTGACTCTCCCCATCCTTGGTCGTAACAAAGCATTTGGATGCAGTGAGTTATTATCTCATAACAGACCTAGTTGAACTTCACTGGTCAGTGTTTAATCTGAAAACTTTATCGATGAAGGAATTGATAATAGTAGCTTAGCAAAGTAAGTCAAAAATGTGATATTCTTATCTTAAACTTTTATTATTAAAGAGATTTGGTAACATTCTCTTCATTTCAGATTTACTTAAGTCAACTACATTAACAAAAATGTACGAAAAGTGTTCAATTATCAAGTATTACAATAATGTTCTATAACATAATATTCTATTTTACAGTGAATTTATTAAATGTGAACCGAAATCTCAATTCAAAGGTGCATTTATATTGATGTGAGTATTATTATTCAGTTGTAAGGTAATGTATTACTTGATTATCTAAAAAATAGAATATTATAAGCAAAGAGGGATGGTGGTTAGAAGTGGAATCCTGAATGCAGGTTTCGTCCTGCTTAGGACTCGTCAGTTGGGTGCATCTGCATCTCAGAGTTGGTGTTCACTCAGGGACTCAAGTCTGGGATGTAAGTACATTCAGCCGAAAAGTCGCAAATAGGAAGAAACGCACGTCTTGGATTCCACTACTAGCCACTATCCATCTTTGCTCATAAAGCTTGTGACTTAAGGCAATCCGTACAAGATGCATATATGCCAATAAGAGACTGATCAATTGCAGTCCTAAACAGCAATGGGAAAATAAAAGCAAACAATACCAAGTGATTTATATAAAACAAAAACCAATGCATTAGTTGATGAGCATAAATCCGTTGTTCATATAAAATATGTAATAGGCTATTGAAATTTAAACAATAAGCAATAATAATATGTAGTTTTACAGATTTCGATCCATTTTTTATATGGGATCCATGTTGAGTAATTTTATATTTATTTACTTATGCCTGTTACACATCGTGAAGGAACATAAACCGCCCATCAGCACTCTCCATTCAACTCTGACTCGGACGATCCTTCCAAGTTGATTTCCGTTCTTTTCATGCCTGCCCCCTATTTCAGACACAATGTGTTCTTCTGTCGTACTGTTTTTCGTTTCCCTTCATAATTCCGAGTTAGGGCTTGCCTCGTGATGCAGTTTGGTGATTTCCGTAATGTATGTCCTATCCACCTCGATTATCATTTCCTAATTTCCTCTACAACTGGAATTCGGTTTGTTCTTGCTCATGGAATCCGGGTAATTTCAAAACTTACTAAATGATATTTCGTTATGTTTATAAGCAATTAGTAGACGAACATCATTGAAGCCGACCTTTATTATAAAATGAATGAACTGTCGTATATGTATTATGGTATTCTTCAACAGTGTTCGATTATAACCATATCATAAATTGAGTCGAAGATCATAAGCTCTTAATATTTAGATTATTTAATGTGTTTTGACAAAGAGTATCATACTCGGATAAAACAGTAATCTACTTCGCTTGAGTTTTATCTTTATAGAATCTCTTGAATAGAATCCAATTTAAAAGTATACTAACCGTGATAAAAACACTCAGTAAACATTTTATCGGCAAAACAATAGTATATCGTTACATTTTTGCTGTTTTTTTCCTTGGATATTAATACAAACGTCTCATTTAGTACATATTTAGATATTTAATGTATAAAGTGACCAATCAATACCTAAAAAAGTGAGTGGCTCGGATAGCTTAGTCGACGACACAGGATTGAAACCGTCAGGGAGCATCAGTTCCTTCAAGATTACAGGTACATCTTGACAATGAGTCCCCAATAGCATGTAACCTAGGTCCAGGATCTCCTGTAAAAAGGTATCCAAATGCCGTGGTACGGCCGAGAGTGTGGAGAGTCAGCTCCCCCTCTCCAAATGCTCTCATATGGCCACGTGCATACAACCACTACTAGGGAAGTCCTACTCATTGACTTCTCGCAGCAAAGGTATTGTTTATGAAACTAAAATGACAAAAATCGAATGTTTGGCGCTTTAATCGGGTCGGTGGATATGGAGGATCCATCTTGAGGAGTTGGAAAATCTTCATTCCAAACCAATGGTGCACATGAGCTTCATGATCCTGAAGGAATAAATTGTGTATAAACTTATTGTTGGTTAACGGCTATCATGAGACTGCATCGCCTAATATTACTCTACTGCCTTGTGGATCAAACTCTTAGGTCAAAGGCGCCAGATATAGCCCCCGTACATAAACCACCTGCTTCTGTTTGAGAACCCGAGCACTATAACAACCCACACACAAATCAAGTAACTTGTATGATGCATATCTATTCGGTGCTCCTTTTGTCTCAATATTTATGTGTTTAAATCAATGAATGAATAGATCTTTCTGAAAAGTTGTCAAGATTTAAGTGTTCATTATTGAAATCTTTTTCTAAAAAACCATAACAGGTTACTTTTGTAACCTGGATATTAGTGACGTAATGTATAGTATCCAATTCACTTTTGTTCTATATATTTATTTCATATTCTAGAATTGTTGGTTTAATATTGGGGTTTGTTATATTCATGATTAGAAAATTACATCGTCCAACATTGATCAACACTATCATAGCTGGTTTAACAGTTAGTTTACAAACACAAGAGAATAATGATTGTTCATTCATTTTCTTCTTTCACTTTTATTGGTTGCTTAAATTGTCTCATTGATGATATTATGAACTGTAATTGATGAGACTATAATTTGTAGACGAACCAATCAGATTTGAGATAACAGATCTTGGATTTTGGCGCGGAATTCATTCATTCATTCATTCGAATAAATAGTTTTGGCATTATAACTAATGTCAGTTCATGATGAAAACGCTGAATCTAATTTCTAACGTTAACGACCAACTGTAAATCATAATTGTAATTCCTCTCACACACACACAGGTTTCTAATCCTCATTTGATTCTGGTTATCAGGTAGACACTTTCAAGACCACTTTAGCGTTACTCAAAGGTCATCCATAAATTATAGTCTCACCGATCATTCTCTTTTGGTAATATATAGATCTTATGCGTTTAACCTCGGTATTACCATTAGTTCATTTGAATTTTCAGAGAAAATGAAATGAAATTCATCATATTGCTTAAAGTAGCGGTTATTCAGATTCATTAGTTAAGTCGTAAAGGTGTAACAAAAAGTACTGAGTTCGAGTCCCGTCGAGAATATTAACACAGGTGTAGATATATTCAGATGACTAATTCCGAATAGAATGAAATGTGCATCCTAAATTTCATTTTTAATTACCACCATCCAGTTCGGATTAAAACTAATCATCATTCACATGATCATTATTTGTATTTTATAAGATGAATATCCTATTCAGTGTGATCAATTGAATTCGTAACAATCAATTAGTGTACAGTTCTCATTAATCAAATTATGTTGATTACAGTCAATCGACTAATTGATTACTGTACATTGTAGTTTCTAATAGGTTTTATCATACGATAAGGCTATATCGAGACAATCCGCACGGGATGCACATATACTAACATGAGACTGATCAATTATAGTCCTAAATAACAATGGGAAGATACAAGTAAAAAAAAACACAACACCAAGTGAATTTACACTTCAACCCATCGCACAAGCAGGTGACTATCACAACTCACTAGCTAAGTGGATAACGCGATAGAGTTTGAAGCGAACTGTACTGGGTTTGAGTCCCAGTATGCATCTTCGTTTAAAAAGCTTGTGACTTAAGGCTATATCAAGGCGATCCGCATAGGATGCACATATGCCATCATGAAATTGATCAATTATAGTCCTAAATAACAATGGGAAGATACAAGTAAAAAAAAGCACAACACCAAGTGAATTTAAATATGGCTTCTGTTTGTGATAGTGTTGGTTACTTTTAATTCTAATGAAGTATAGATTTTCTTCTCATTTTATATTATAACATGTATAGTTCTTTGTGTTGGATGAATAGGAACTTCAGTGAACAAGAATATATATAGCATGAACATATATAGATAGATAGATATACTTCAGTAGTTGACATCATGAGTCAATTGAAGCCAGACCACTATGGGAAACCTGAAAGAACTGGATGGCATCATTTTAATCACTTAGGCTGTTTATAAAAATGTATTGCTTTCCTATTAAACAATTTCTTATATAATTTATTTTAGGCAAATCTATTATCGTTTGGTGTTACTTTATTTTGTGGCTTCTTTGAATTTAAATACGTTGTCATGGATGCCATTGTAGCATTTGTATTGGGTATCATTACTATCTTATTAAGTATGAAGATAACATCATTCCAACGGAGATGGAAGATTATCTTATTTATCATAATATGTGGATTACTAGTTATAGGATTCCTTTCTATTGTATTATCTTATTTCTATGTAAGTTAATGTTTAATGTATCTATTTCAAATGATATTTAAATTGGTTCTTTAGTCAGTGATATGTGAGATAGGAATATCTAGTATTATTGTGATGTGTGCTACTTATATTGACATAAGTAGTAGATGATGTTAGTCAGGAACAGAATGTCTAGCAGCAGAGAGACAAGAGGGTCGAACAGTAAAGGATGGGAACAGAATGCAATTTGTATGAAAATGCAAGAACAATGTGGTCTGAATCATTATGAGACAATCGATGGACATTTTGTAAATTGAGCATTTACTTTATGATTGTTAGATTTTATTAACAAGTTCTGTAGTTTTGTGACGAATACATTCGATTATCCCCATTGGTGTTCGTGTTCATTACAGTATAAATGCTAATGCTAATAGCGTATTCACTATCCACACAATGATTATTATTCATCTTGGAAACTCGGAGTTGGATAGTTTGGTTGTGGAGCTTTCATCGTTCTTTTGAATGACATCATCAGGATAAACTTTAGATAGAAGTGAAGTGTTCGACTTTCTGCACATATGGTTCACAGCTTGTCTTGTAGACCTCGATGTTGATTCGTTCTTGTTAACCTTAAACCTGTCATTATTTACTTCATTGTTTCGGTTATCTCCCATTGGTCAACAAGAACCAATCAACATAGAGCTGTACAGGACAAGTTGTGAACCACATGTGAAGAAATTCGTACACTTCATCTCCACTTGAAGTTTGTGTTGATGATGTCGTTCAAAAGAATGATGAAAGCTCCATAAACGAATCATCCAGCTCAGAGAATAAAACTACATGAAAATCCACCTGGGCTACAAATCTTCTCTACCATCTCAAAATCTTGGAAACGTTTTATTTCAGCTTCATTCTACAGTGATATCTGGTGACTTACTGTATTTTTGAAGACGATAGTAAAGTACGAACTTTTGACATTATTGACATTATTACGATTATTGTCTTACAAAAATTCGTTTAAACTCTAACGATACTTGACCAACAATTGACAAACATTAAATGCTGTGCTATCAGAACAGTCAAATCACTTAAGTTATACGGACTATCAGTTATGTTTCTCAAACATAATAATGGAAACAAAACTTTTATATGGAAGAATTCCGATAGAAATACGACTAAAGTGTTCTCAATTCTGTTAAGATTATGATTAATTGACCACAAGTCGGATACTTTTTTATCCATAGAAACTAATGCATCAAAGACGTCCGTAAAATTCATTTCATTCTAATGTTCCATTGATCGAAATATAAATAACAACACTTACTTACTTACGGCTGTTACTCCCAATGGAGTATAGGCCAATGACCAGCATTCTTCAACTCACTCTGTCTTGCAAATTATCTTTCTAGTTCTATTCAATTGTTGTTCATTCTTCTCATATCTGTCTTCATTTCACGGCGTAATTTGTTCTTTGATCTTCCTCTTTTACTTTGACCTTGAGGATTTCAATTGAGGGATTACCTTGCGATGTAGTTGGGTGTTTCCCTAAATGCATTTCCTATTTACTTCCAGTGCTTCTCCCTGATATCTTCCTCCACTGGAATCTGGTTTGTTCTCTTCCGCAATAGGTTGCTGCTGATAGTGTCTGGCCAACGAATCCGACTGGAGCCACTTTGGGGCTATTGCCGGTCTCAAGCCCGGATAAAGGAGGAGGGTGGGCATCGGGCAAGCGACCCTATAAGGTAGAAAACTAGCTGGCTAAAAAATGCTAACCAGAAAAAATAAAACACCAACACAGAATCATACATTGTATTCACCTAGTAACTTTACAACTATCTTAAATTATTTCTGTATGACTACAATGACTTAAATGTTTACGCATTGTGAGAAAGGTCCACGGCTGATCTCAAGGAACTTCTAAGAAGTTCAGAAAGAGCCGAGGAACATTCCAGAATCTCGATGTATAGCTTCCCTATTGAAAAAATACTAAAACCCCCTGTATGCGGATTGGATGACTATAACGATGATTTCGTTCTTACTAAAAAAAAGACTATAAATACCTGATAGTTTTCTATAGTATTTGACGATGTTTGAAATAGCATTCCTTTCTTTTATCTTGTGTTTCCTCATTTTCAACTTGGAAAGTTCTAGCATTCGAATGATCATGTTATGCGCGGTATATTAGGAATCTATGCTTTAGATATAACACATATTTTATGAGAATATTGTAGATCATTAAAGTATTGAGTGGTTCTGTTGGGGTGATCCAGAAAATGTTTCGCAAAAGACAAGCAAGGATCAGGAAACACTAAGAAGCGGTTCATTCAATCAGCGTTCACTTGAAGTTTTAGCCTGATGTATCAAGGAAGTGAAACGTCACATGTAGAGGTTCTAATTGGCTGATTGCTACACTGCTACTATGTTTAGTAGGATTTCAGAATCTTGGAGCAACCCTAGGACATTTAAAATATTATAAAATTCCTATATCTTCTGTGTTGGAATGAACCTTTGGAGTAATGTACTTCTCAAATATTTTGCGCCTTCTCTCTTGCGTTCAGGTCGCTGTACAGTTCTAGCTTGGGGGGGGGTACAGAATAGTTTAGAAAACGAAAATAGCGTTCAGTTTGCAAGAATTATCAGGTTCAGTAATTCCTTTTGTTTGTAAACAACAATTAAAAATTTTTGTTTTGTTATTTCTCATTCACTCTACTATTTCAGTGTATCTTTGAAATCGTATTCAATACATGTTGGATTTGTTTAATTCTACTTGTAAGTTTGATTATGTAATATATGTAATATCAATATTGAACTAAAATGCATCTTGATTCCTTGATAATTTGAAAGAACCTAAGAAGAGAATGATTTGTTGAATGGCATGAATTCATCATATTTCAAGGGTGTTCAATATTTGTAAACGGCATTAAAGTCATATTAGTGATATTTATATACCGTAGTTAACTACTTCTATGAGGTATGGCAACTTGGACCGACAAATATATGTGCCTGGTGGTGATGTGAGGTAGTCAACAGGAAACTCTGAACCCGGGTTTTGTGCTACTCGATGTATTTTTAACCTCGAGGGAATTGATGCTCCCTGAAGGATTCAATCCCCTGTCAGCCAGCTTCACAGTCAGAGACGGTACCACTAAGCTAACCGAGCAGTGACTGACCTCCTGTAGGACTGAGATATAATCACAATTGATTGATCACTGGGTGGTGATCAATATCATGTTTGTCAAGTCAAGCTGGGTGACACGGGATCGAATCCGTAAGGGAACACCAGTTCCTTCAAGATTAAAGATACACCTTGTTGACAAGTGCCAAGTAGTGCGAAACCTGGGTCTAGAGTTTCTTGTTGACTACCTTTAACCACCACCTAATCTCAGCATAGTGCACTCACTGTCGAGTCACCTAGACTAGTGGCCATATTGGAACTTAGTCGATAGCATTCGATCTGCACGAATAAGGACTTGACACACATGAGATCGATCACCACTCAGTGATCAATCATTTGTGATATGTACTTAGTCCTTTATTATAGCTGACTGACTGAAAGTTTAGTTGGAAATGATATGAGAAACCAGAAGAAGAACTAACATATTTTACATGGTAGTTAAGATTGATTAGTAGTTATATGTTGAAGATGAACTCATAACAAGAGGAGAAGAAGGTGGAGTTGAAAAGGATAATAAAATGACAGTGAATACAAGTAAATCGTCAGTAGATAGGTGGTAATCACAACACTTAGTTGACAGGAATTTAAAGCTAACTTCATGAATGAGCATCAGTAGAACTTTTCATCTTCTTACTATGTCAATATGAGGTTTATCACTATTTAGTTTCTGTATTCAAGGATCAGGTCGAAAGCATTTGGTAGTAAGAGGTTTTTCAAAGTGACATAAAAGTGATGTTCCTTGATTGTTAGTATTTAAAACGCCTTTATGATTTCTACGTAGTGTTCACTATCCGTTAAGTGTTTAATGGCTGCACTACTTATTACTTGACATCGTTTCTAACACAACCTTCTGATAACCTTATAAATCACCATCTTTTAGTCTTTTCTTTGTACTCGCTTTCACAAACTATAAGTCGAATGTTAACAAAAGGATAATATGGATATTCGAATAGTTTCTATTTTGTGATTGGAAAGTATATTGTTCTTAAGTGGTACCACTCACAAGAATACATATTTCATACAATCACAAATTAAATGAAGTTTCTCGTCTACTTTCTCTTCCACCTTTCATTTTGATCAGTAATGCCTGATGGAAAAAATGTTATCTTGATTATCTATTTAACTACTCAGTATGAAAATCAATGCTGTTGTTCAACAGAAGTCTTTCTCACAGACTGGTGTGTTAGTTTCAGTGCCAGAATCTTCGTTGAAGTCGCCTTTCTAATTGAATTCAATAGTTTATATAACTCCGTAACGTCTAGTTGATAAAGAATACATTATCTGATCAGTTATTTCTAAACAATCAAATGTTTCTTCAATATAAAATGCTTTTACATATCTCTATTCAATGATACTATTAAATGACCTGGTATGGACGAGAGTCGAGAGAGTCATCTCTCTCTTGAAATGCTCTCACATGGTCACGACTATACAGTCACTTCCAGAGAAATCCTACTGACTGAATTCTCACTGTGGGGGGGGTATTATTACGAAATTGAGAGGACGAAATGCGAATGTTCGGCGCTTGATAGATGTGGAGTATCCACCTAGGGGAGTTGGAAAACTCGGATTCCAAATCAATGGTGCACATGGGCTCCAGTATCCAGAAGTAACGAATGACGTATGAACTAATCGTTGGTCACCGGCTACCATTGAACTGAATCTCATTACGTTGCTCCACTGCCTTGTGAATCAGACCTTCAGGTTAAAGGCTCCGGGTGTAGGCCCCTAAGAAGGAAGGCCCACGGCAGAGTGAGTTGGGGAATACTAGTCGGCGGCCTATACTCCAATGGGAGTAACAGGCGTAAGTAAGTAAGTAATTCAAAAAGATGACTCTTCTATTATATTTTACTTCAAAAGGTAAGTCATTCCCTTAGTTTTACATTGTTTTAATAAACTATTACATTCTTATTTATTATAGGCAATTGTTTTCACTCCATATTATTTCTACTTAAATAATGAATCAACCGAATATTCATCCTATTTCATTGGTTTTATAAATGTATTTGAAATTATCACATTATATTTGTTTGTATTAATCACATCATTGGATATTGGACAAACCACATTGAAATGTGATTATGGCGGGAATGAATGATCAATCGAAAGAAGATGATGGCGATGATGGTGGTGATGATGATAATGATCGAGCTTAAATACAAAAGTTTGATTCAATCTTTATTAAACATTTACAATCATTGTAATATGATTATGTCATAGTATTGGGATGTATTTTTATTATGATCACGATGAGAAAACAAAAAAAGTAACTGAAAAGCTGTATTTGTGGTCTTGACAACAAAGTTGTATTTACTGAATTACAAATTTAATACAACAATTATGCTAAGAAGGGGTTTTGTGAAGATTTTAGAAATGTCACTAGTTGAAATCATGAGTCAATCTCCACAAAACCCCTTCTGATGATAATCATCTGCTCACTAGTGACTGACTTCAAGAGACACTCCTGGAGTTCTAGTGAGAAGCCGTTACCAGTGGAGTACATTCAGATCTGTTGTGAGATATCAACTCACTGAAGACAATGGTGTACGGTGGATCAACTTCGCGGATTGGTTACAGTTAGACATTAACAGTGTCAGATGCCAGCCGGCTTAGTGGTCAAGTGGTTAGGCTATCATGAGCGAGGCTGTTAGGCCCTGAGTTCGAGTCCCGCGGGGGGATCGTTGGTGCGTGCTTCTGAGGAGCCCCGTGCTGGGATGAGACGACCGTCCGGTGTTTCTAGGCTTTCCATGGTAGTCTAGCTTCCATTGACTCATGATCTCAACTAGTGAAACACCAATTATGTCTAGCCGTTAACAGTGTATCAACTTCAGATAGAGTCATTTCAAGGCTACTGTCTATAGTAAGCTTTGGTAAAGAAGAGTTGTCAGGGTTGGGGTTGTCTAATCCATTTCGCAAAACTGGAACGCTGTTTAAATTTTGATAGCTAATGAATACTAGTCACAAATCAGCTGACAAACTTTGACACTTTCCATTCTTATTACTAATGAGTAAGCGATATGTTACTCATTCATTTGTTGTTTCACACTTCATAGAAACCTCGTAAATTAATGAATGGTGGGCCCACTAGATAAAAAAAACTTTAAGCAATTCTATACACAACAATTGACACCTTGAAAACTAATGCTAAACAGTCAGTCAGTTGGCTAGAACCTAGGACCAGGCACTTATATGCATCGGTCTAAAACGCCATACCGCATTAGCACAACAACACGAACACCAAATTCATAGAAATAGTCACTTCAATGGTGGTAATGTATGGAAGAAAGATTGTGTATCACGATATAGTACAGAAAGAATTCGTTCGTAGAAAGAAAGACATGAAGCGATTTCAATCTCATAGTTTAAAGGAAGACAGAGAGTGTATACACTATCTACGCCATTGTAATCGATTCTGAGTCATATCACCAAGAGTCTACAACCATTGGTTACGATTGTCACACGGACCCCAACCAAGTAGTCTGAATCTACCAACATGGCAGAGACTACAAGTTAGTGACTTCAAGCATTGATGCCACGTTTTGGTTTGGCCGCCACTAACCTTCTTCCAACCATCTCCAACACTAGTCAGCATCGCGCGTAGTGGTAATCGATGTTCAGGCATACGTAACACGTGGCCCAACCAACTGATTTGATGAAGATTCACAACCTCAACAACTAATTTACCGTCATTCCCTAATACTGTGCGTCTAACTTCACTATCAGTTACCCGGTGACCTCAGCAGATACGAGCAATATGTCTAAAACATCTGTGATCAAATATTAGTAAGTTACGAGTATCTTCTACTTTTAATGACCACGTAAATGCATAGGTCCAAGTTGCCATACCTCATTAGAACAACAAGATGAACGAAAAGCTATAGCTTTTTGAACTTCAATTAAAGTCGGGAGGGGCGGTCTTACTTCAATGTTACATTCAGGCGGTTTGGTAATGTTGGGTAGTTGTAGAGCAGCTGAAGCCCAAATGTGTAACATAAGTAGATAACGATTAGATTTATCTAGTATTTTGTTCTCTCTGATATTCCGTTTATAAATATTATAATAAAAAGAATGTAGTCATTAAGAAGTCAGTAAGTGTTATCTCGAAATGGAAGTGTAATCATAAGATGAATTGAACAGAGGAAATATGACGATTAAGAAAATGTCATAGTTCTCTTAAGCTGAAACAACCCAGACAAACACTGACTACCTTATTGATAAGAAGAAAAAGGTAACTGAATGATTTGATGTGATAAAGTACTTCATTATCTGAAAGTTCACATTATTAATCAAACCTTCAAGCAAAACATCAGAAGATCAATATGAAGATGCAGGTTATCCAATAGAAAGACTAATATCTTGGAAATGTATTACACACTTTATCTATATACTAATGGGATCCAACCTACTAAAATACAAGCAAACGAGTTTATAAAGTATAATGATTATCAATGCTTAAAGCTTTCTTTGATACAATTCTGTGTATAATGAACTGGTATTGTAGTGCGCGCCTCGTATGTGGACAGATATAAGTAGTATGTAGCACCAATTGAAAGTAGAATCGTGAAAAAAACTTCAGACGACATCGTTGAACCATGGCAGTTGAGGGAAGTGATAAATGAACTTTAAAGCTTCACGATCACTAACAATATTGAATTTTTTTCCGAATAAATATTTATTAAGTCTTTTGACGGCCCAAAACACAGCTAATCCTTCTCACTGAGTTTGTGAATATCCTTGCTTAGCAACAGTAAGTTTGCGTGAAACACAGATAACTGGTCTACCTTCCCGCTCCAAAACTCCACCAATACCCACAGGTAATGCATCAGTATTAAGATTATAATGTACACTAGGAGAGTAAGTTAGAGGAACAGCATCACTTTGAAGAAACTCTAGAAGACTCCATAAGCATGACTCTATTTCCTCACCCCATTTAAATGAATTGGATGTCAAAATATTAAATAAACTATTAGCACGACAAGAAAAATTAGGAATAAAACGGGAATAGTATTGAAGAATACCCATAAGTAAGCGTGGTTCAGTAAGCATTTCTGGAGACGGTGCATTTGTCGATGAGTGTCGGGTGGAGGTAGGTATCTACCTCAGACAATGGATGAATGTTTGCATAGCGATTCATGGATGGATGGATGTTAGACATTAACAACGTTGGATATCGGTCAGTGGTCTACAGGTGAAGCGTCCCCAAGAGAAACCGGAAGTCCTGGGTTCGATTACCGCGTTCGAGGTCGTAGATGCGCACTGCTAAGGAGTCCTAAGCAAAAACAAAACAGCTGTCTAACACTTGCAGATTTTTGACTATGGTGTAATTTTGATCGACTCATGATCTCAATCAAAAAACTTATAAAATTGACAAATTCAGTGCCACAAATCTATTTAATAATTCATTATAAACGTAATCAACGTTGTTAGAGAGTGCATCGGCCTCGTGACTTTCGAAGAATTTCGGCTTTCACCACGATGCGTCATAATCCTTCCTTGAATTCCCAGGCCAGAGTTTAAATGATTAAATTTGTTTATTCTGGTTAGCGTTTTTTAAGCAAGATTGTTTTCTACGGGATGAGATTGCCGACTCCATGCACAACCCTTCTTCTTTACCTGGGTTTGGGAGTGGCAGTAACTCTAGAAGAGCTACAGGCGAAGTTATATGTCATACTCTGTCTAAATAAATATTAAATGTACTATAGAATTTATAATGTTTATTCACGGTATATTGTAGGTATATTCAGTGATTACTATTATGAATACTTAAACATTGTTGTCTTTTGAGCTATGAATAGAGAATTTGCTGATTAAAGCCAGTATTATTGGTGATTAATTAAATTCAGTTGGTGTTGTTTTACATAAATCTTCCCATTGATGTTTAGGACTGCAATTGATCGGTCTCTGATTGGCCTTAAGTCACAAGCTTTTTTAAGCAAAGATGGATAGTAGCTAGCAGTGGAATCCAAGACCCGCGTTTCGTCATATTTAAGACTCGTTAGCTGGATGTACTTGCATGTACTTGCTATCAGGACTCAGTAACTAAGTGGATAACACGATGGCATTTAAAGCAAACGGTACTCAGTTGGAGTCCTGGATTAAACATCGACTCTGGGATGCAGGTACATCCAACTGACTAGTTCCAAATAGCGCGGAACACGCGTCCTGAATTCCACTGCTAGCCACCACTATCGATCTTTGATTAAAACGTTATTCGACTTAGTTTTGTTCTGATTTTATTCTATAAACCATAAGCTTTTGTTTGAGATATATGATTTACTGACATAACTATCTCTCTTCCAAAGCTATTGTAATATAAACATAATCTTTGGTACTCTGTTTTACTACCCTAATGCCCAGTCTTCGGCATAATTGTATTGTCTTGATTGTTTTTGTGTTTTGATCATATTAGTCATCGGTTTATTCATGTATCTTTTTACATTATTCAAAAACTGGGAATAAGTTGATTATAAACTATCGTGGAACAGTAGCCAATAGGTCAAAATGAAAGCTTATGATAAAAGGAATATGAATATATACATAATCTAGTTACTTCATGATTATCCAACAAGAATATATGTAATAATAGTCCATAAACAATTCCTGGAAGTTTATTCTCGAATTACACTTGAAGGAGAAGCTTTGGAAGATGTGAAATCTTTTACATAGCTGGGCAGCTTCACGGACGAACACGGTGGATCTGATGTAGATGTGAAGGCGCGAATCGGTAAAGCAAGAGCAGCATATCTACAAATGAAGAAAATCTAGAACTCAAAACAATTGTCAGCTGCCAACACCAAGGTTAGGATTTTCAATACAAATATCAAGACAGTTCTACTGTATGGGGCGGAAACCTAGAGAACTACGAAAACCATCAACCACAAAGTACAAGTGTTTATTAAAAGCTGTCTATGCAAAATACTTCGGATTCATTGACCAGACACTATAAACAACAACCTACTATGGGAGAGGATAAACCAGATTCCAGTCAAGGAAGAAATCAGGAAGAAGTGGTGGAAGTGGATAGGACACATAATGAGGAAAGCACTCAACTACATCACAAGGCAATCACTCAATTCGAATCCTCAAGGCCAAAGAAGAAGAAGCACAAAGAACACATTACGCAGAGACAGACAAGAGGAGAATGAACAACAATTGAATAGAACTAGAAAGGGAATGTTCAGGACAGAGTGGGTTAGAGAATCCTACGCTCCATTGGGAGTAACAGGCGTAAGTAAGTAAGTCAATAAGCAGTTTATTCTCTTTAACGTTCGTTTAGAAAGATTATTTTTTACAGAATT